ATGTTTTGGAGCAACATGGGACCTACTGGTCCATCTCGGCTGTTTTATCCTCTAAAGTAAATTAAAATAATTAAAAAATAAAATAAAATCTTAAAGCCAGTCCTTATCATTCATATACTTATCCCAAGGCAACCTATTCCAAAGACAAATTACCTTGTTAGAAAAATGAAACTGTCTTAGCTGAAGATAACTTCTGCCTTACCAAAATTTATATTCGAGTCCCCTAGCCCTACTATTCTCACAGTTAAATATGAGAAAAGATGATGCAAAGAGAAATTTTAGAGTACAATGGCTTTAATTCTGATATCACCCAATACTTAGTACATCATGCTAAAAGTGAAACAAAAATTCATATTGATTTTGAAAATAATTCAGATGACTTTTCACACCTTTGACCATAAATAAATATTTCATATTTTGAACACCTTACACCCAATGACATTTACATGCACATATAATTTAGAGAGTGAAGGGTGGGGTGGGGGGGGGGTATGAAAGTTTACCAAAGTTATTAGACATTTTAATATATTCATATGTATATATATATGTATTTTACATAGCTTGATGATTATTTATGAAAATATTAGTGTTCTCTCTCTCTCCCCCAAAAAATACATAAAACTGCAAGGGAGCTGTTGAGTATATTCCCATAACTAATACCTAATTTCCAGAGTTAAAAACTGGAACTTTTTTTTTCATGCGAAGTGACGACACTGTAACAGTCCTGAAGCAACATGAATTACAATAACACACTTTTTACATTTACTACATAATCTGATATTTATTGCATCGTGTTTTAAAACCATAGACAAAAAAAATTATTTACAGCTTATAAATACTTAAAAAATAATAAACTAAGAATTGAACTTTGAACATACTCACCACACACTGTCTGGGTCGGTATTTTGGTTGTGTTGTGGGCGACTTGGAAGAGTAAGGTGCTATTTAGGTCTCTTCCTCACTTCTTTACTGTTTCATATCAGGCAGGTGGCAGCACTGTTTATGTAGGGATGGCTCGGATTGTTCATTGAAATGGTATTTCAAATATCACCTCAATAGGTCATCGGAACTTTTCAATACTTTACAGTGTTTCCTTTTATCCCAATATCTATATAATGACTGAGTCACAAGTTCTGGGAATGTCTGCAAGCATAATACCAAAAATGTTTGAATTTTGTCTTTGATAGATTGTTTGGATTTCTTATTTTTCTTTCGTCTGCATCTTTTTTATTACAAGATAACTCAAAAACCAAAACAATGGTGTCAAGCAATTTCACTGAATTGTCAGTTTCAAATGGAGTATCTGCTTTTATAAGTATTATTAATAACTAGTGGTAATTTTAAAAATCATAATTATAGTGTAAAGGGTTTTATCATTACCTCTTGAAGTGGGCCCGGCATGGCCAGGTGGATAAGGCGCTCGACTCACAATCTGAGGGTCGCGGGTTCGAATCCGCATACCACCAAACATGTTCGCCCTTTCAGCCGTGGGGGCGTTATAATTATTCGTTGGTAAAAGAGTAGCCCAAGAGTTGGCGGTGGGTGGTGATGACTAGCTGCCTTCCCTCTAGTCTTACACTGCTAAATTAGGGACGGCTAGCGCAGATAGCCCTCGTGTAGCTTTGCGCGAAATTCCAAAAAACAAACAAATACCTCTTGAAGTTAGTTTTCTTACAGACATTTGGTGTTCCTTTAAAAAGCTTAAATACAGAGCAAAACAGGAATTACCAGCCAATAAAAGACAAACAATAAATATTAGTCGAAACTTTGTTGTATTTATAACTTGGTTATGAATACAACCTTTGAATTTAAATTATCAAGTATAATCTCACATGTACATTGGGTTCATAAAAAGTGTAATTGAAGGTTCTTCAACTTAGTTTTATTTTATCAGGTAAAGTCCAACGATTATTTCATGAAAGGCTCTTTCGTCTTTTAAATAGTTTATTTGATGTATAAGCATGTCACATGACTGGACATTTTACACAGTTTTTAGCTGGTTTTTGTTTGAAGTTAAACACAAAGTAACACAATGGGCCATCTGTGCTCTGCCCAACACGGGTATCGAAACCCAGATTCTAGCGTTGGAAGTCCGCCGACTTACCGCTGTGTCACTGGGGACTACCTGGTTTTCATCACAAACTTTACTTTTCCCAGACAGATATTAATTAAACTCGTAAAAAATTTTGCCTGTCATATTATTTGGTTTCTTATGGACACAAGAAGCATAAAACATTGGGTTCGTTTGTTCTTAAGCGCAAAGCTACACAATGGGCTACCTGTGTTCTGTCCCACACGTGTATCGAAACCCGGTTTTTTAGCGTCGTAAGCCTGAGCTACTTGGGGAGGGGCTAAAATAATAAGATTTAAATTAACAAAATGTTCATAAGCTATCATGTGGAAGAAATAATGCTTTCTGATTTTGATGTCATAAATCCAAAACGTCAGACATTTATAAAATGAAACTCAGTTGATAAACATGCATTTTGTTAGCATTTTTAAAAACTTTTATGACGGGGGCCACTTTTGGAACTTAAGTCACCTTGCCTTTTAAATATATCTCTTTTGTCTATTTCAAGAATGGAAAACACTAAATATTTTAGATTTCTTTTTGCAAAACATAAACTAGAACAACAACAACAACAAATACAACATGAATAAATAAGAGATCATTTCACACGTACTTAACAATTGCGATGTATGTCATCATACAATAACTTAATTAAGTGAACATTTATGGCCCGGCATGGCCAGGTGGTTAGGTAGCTC